CTCTTTCTTGATAACTCTTTCAGTCTGAAAAGTCCCTTTGCACTTTTGTAGTGCAGTCTCACACACTTTTTTGGCTTCAGTTTGGTGATGCTTCTGTCAGTCCTTGATTACTAATGTGGACTTTTGCTGGACATAGTGTCTTCTCCCATCAGTCGTATAGAGATTATATGCCACTTTCTCCTGGACAGTATGATACTGAGCAACCTGCTTTCACATGACGTGGGATGCCTATCAACTTTATTTGCTTCTTTTCTCTTAGAGCTTTGAGAATATCTTTATCACTTACCTTAAATCATAACATACATTGGGAAGGTAGACTGTATTAAATTTGATTGGTGACCTTGGACCTTGCTATATCTGGATGATTGTATTGTTCTTGAGGAAAGAATTCTAAGAGGCAGGCAGATTTCTGAGTTCGAGGCCAGCCTGGTCTACAGAGTGAGTTCCAGGACAGCCAGAGCTACACAGAGAAATCCTGTCTCAAAAAAACCAGAAAAAAAAAAACCAAAAAAATAACAACAAAAAAAAATTCTACACTTGAATAATTTCTACTCCTTTGATATTGCCAAGCTGTTCTTAGACTCTAATTATCCAAATGTTTGTTCTTTTTCTAATAGTGTCCCAAAGACATATGATTTGCCTTCCTCACTTTCAGTTCTGCATCTCATGGAAGCAGGAATTCTAGCTCACTAATGGTTCTCCTCAACTAATCTCCTGGTACCTTCTATTGTGATTTGCTAAGCATATTTTTCTTTGCTAAAAGATTTTTATACTCTTTTATACTAAAAGATTTTTATGAGTACACTGTAGCTGTCTTAAGACACACCAGAAGAGGACATCCGATCCCATTACAGTTGGTTGTGAGCCACCATGTGGTTGTTGGGAATTGAACTCAGGACCTCTAGAAGAACAGTCAATGGTCTTAACCACTGAGCCATCTCTCCAGCCTCCACTAAGCATATTTTTTCGCACAGATTTTGGGGGTTGATTTTTTAAAATTCCCTTTGTCTTTGTAGCATTTCAGTTTTCTTCTGTCTCATTAAAGGTCTTTAAAAAAACAAAAACAAGTGTTTACATTTCCAGAGAGTTCTCCTTCATTGGTACCTACCCAGCCAGTTTCAGACATCTATTTTGGCCATGACTCAAAATACTTGATATTGTTAGCATGTCAGGCCATTCCAGTATCAACCAATGAGCTCTTACCTAGCTTTGTCAGTGCCCATCTTCCCAAAAATGTGAAGCAGACTATGTTGTAGGTTCTGATTCCTCCTCTATCCTGTATTTCAGTACTGGATAGCTCCCAGGTCAAGGTCTATGGGGAGAATGTATTGTTTCAGCCAAAATTTGTCCAAATACACTTTCAGTTTTATTGTTCATAATAAAATTGTGTCTGTTCCCATAAGCCTGTCTCTGTTATCCACAGTTACAGCATGTTGTGAGGTGCCAAGGCAGGACTCAGACCGATTTCACAAAAAATTCACTGTTGACAGTCTAGCCTTTAGCTCCAATGTCACATTTGTGGCCAGTAATGCTGCCAAGAGTAGCACAACATTGGGGTAGGTCCAAGGCACACACTAATATGACTGCTTGTTGGTGAAGTGGAATTGTGGCGACAGATTGCTGCGAATAGTCCTAGTTGTGTGAGATACTTTAGAAGTCTAGTACCTCATGCTTTTTACCTTGCCCTGGAGATCTTCCAGAGGCTGTTGGTAGCCAAACTTGGGAGTGGGAACCATTAACAGTTTCCTAGTGTTAGATTTCATCCAGGAATTTGGCCCTGGGCTGCTAAAACCTATCAGGTAGTACCCTCAACAATTTGTTCTTATAGCAAACTAAGTTGAGATGGTGTTGGCCACAGCAGTCCTTGCTGATGCTAAGCTGAGATATGCCTAAGTCTCATGGTAGCAAGGAACTGCATAGTCAGTTACCTCAAGGAACAACATCTCAGTTGGTATTGGCCAAAGCACAGGATGCAGTCTATTCCTGGTGCCAGGACAATGCTGGAACTCTGTTAACGGGCTTGTTAAAGCTACATTACCTGAGATCTGAGATAAATAGTAGAGACAGTCCCTTGGCTATCAAGCCTGGCACTAGGCTGGGTCACATACAAGGCTTATGGCTACAGAGATTTTCATAGCCACAGAAAGAGAGCATCTGTGCTGTAGGCTGCCAAAGCTGTATCTAAACTGGAGTCTGTTTCTGGTGTAGATGTGTCTCTGCCTGCTGTTAGAAATGGGCTCTCAGGCTGTTTGTGCTGTGGCAGACATACTTTCTACCAGATCCTGGATCACAGTACCACAGGTGTGTTAATGCTGCATGCTAGCTTGCTTTAAAAACTTTCTTCCCAGGAGGTTGAGCCTTGTCCAGCACTCAGCCACCATAGACTTAAGGAGGCATTGTGGAGGCAGTTACCTGCCTGGCCTAGTGTACTTTTAGTAGTTCAGGCTCTAGATCTCAACCTGGTACCTAGGAATCACAAGCCTTTCTCCAGCACCAGATTTCACTGTGGCTAGCTTTGTTCCACGGTTCAGGTTTAAGACTGGGACTCAATTACGTCTCCCTTTTTTAAGCCAGCAACCTTTCCCTGTGCAGGGCTAAATGTTCAGAGTAAGGGGAAGGATGCCACAGGCAATACCTGCTGCCTGCTTCAGTGTGCCTTCTTATTTTGTTACACTCGAATGTGAGAGTGACATCTGTCACCTCATTTATTGCCAGCATTAATTCTGCTGATCTGTATATCCAGGCAGTTGTCCCTTCTTCCTTCACGGCTACATAAGCAAGTGTCCTCCCTGAAGTTGCTTGCTGAGTCAAAGAGGATGACCTTCACCAATGGAAAAGGAAGAGTTTCACATCAAGGGTAGACAGCACTGCCCTGCTAGAGCCTCCAAACAAACTCTCATGTTGTTATGCTAAAGGCAGGCATCATGGTCTCTTGCTGATCTACTCAGTCACCATAAAGCTAGTTTATTGGCTGTTGAACTCCAACTGTCTCTGAAAAGACAAACACTAAAACATGTCAGTCAGCCACCATCTTTCTCTACCTTTGAGGGGTTTTTCAGGGGAAGAAAAAAGTAAATTACTTTGAGTTGATAATCAATTAGGAAATAATTTAGCCATAATGGTAAGTAACATGGTAGTTTTAAATAAAGATTCTTATAGTAGCCACTTTTCTATCACATAGGTTTGCCCTATAAGCTTGCCATCATCTGAACTGTCTCCCTTAATTCTTAGCCCTCTACCTATGAGCATTCATTATCCAGAAGATGCCCCAGATCTGCCCAGCCTGACAATGGTGTTCAGTTGAAGGGAACCAGCTTCAGCCTGCCCCTAAAACGATAGACATAGATTCTTATCACTTCTTCGCAAAGCAGACTCTGTGGATGTTCTGCCACTATATACAGGTCCTTGATGAACAAGAAAGTGATATGTAAAATCTCGAGTCTATGTCCTAGATGCAGTAGAGACCTGTAGACTCTGAATCCTTAGCAAGAACTTCTTTAATATGATTAAACTTTACTTTTACACAGAGCTATTTTATCATGGAATGCTTTTTATAGAACATATACTAATAAGTTGTAGACTGAGTGTCTTTTGGCTAGAAGGAACAGAAAACGAGCATTTTGCTGTGCTTACCCCTGTATACTCCACTCTGAGAGGCGGCACTTACAGAAATACATGTGCCAGGTTGAACAGAACATAAATGCTTCTCTTGCTGACAGAACTATTATTACATCTGGCCAGTTTACAGGTGAAATTTGAAATGAATTGACAAATAATTAGTAAATCAGCACAGTTTTCAGAAAGAAAGGAGAGACCACCATTTTAAGTCTGAAATCCTGAGAAGGATCATGGGATGCTATCCAAGGACATCATTCTTTGAAGCATCTGTGTAGTGTGGGACCACCATCCGCCATTATTCCATTACTTTGCTCTTTCATGTTCTGGAAAAAGAAAAGTATTTTAGTCACTGGTTTTATGCAAAGAACTGAACACTTCCCAAATAAATAAAGGTTATTATACTGATGGTATTACAGTATTGCCAGTGCATGGCAGGTGAGGGGAATATGTCCAGTTCACAAAGTGGAAGGCACCAATCCTGTATTTGGAGGTGGGTGTTAGAAGAACGCTAACTACAAGTGGTAGGTGTCTTTCCTTGGTTTCTTGGAAAGGAGGGGAGCTGATGACCACCAGCACTGGTCCTGAATATTTGTACTAAGGGTTATATTTGCTTGCCAGGGATTCAAAGTCAGAGTTTCAGTTAATTATTTTTCATTGTCTGTTTCCTGTTGCTGGGAACTCAACCCTTGACTCAGTGTTCGAGGCAAGCACTCTACCAACTGAGTCCCCCACTGTCCACTTCTTTATGTATTTTCCTAGCTTACTGTATGGGCTTGGATACTAAAAATCTCATTAAACTTGCTGACCCTTGGAAATTTCCAGAGTGACTGGTCTGGGCCAGTTTTGGAGAAAGGGAGTAATTATATACTCTATGTTTATGTAAATGCTCACACAGAAGGAACATAATCAAGGAAATGGCATACACATTGCTTTGCGTTTCTATCTCATGGCCGCTACTGGCTGTCGTACCCAGTAACAAATCTGCAGAAACTGTTTTGAATTCTGAAATTGAAAACACAGCAAACTGAACGGGGTCTATTGACCTTACTACTATGGAGGGAGCAGTGCACCTCTCTGCATGCCAATGATCTGCTTTTTCTTTGTTTTCTCTCTTAGTTTTCCTAGATATCTATTAGGGCCTTTGAATTTATCTATTTAAGGATGGTAATAAATACACTCACATTGCCAAACCACGAATCTTGCATGAAATGACAGCTCAGCGGAGAGGAGAGTGAATCCTAACCTCCTGGTCCCCGTGTCATGAATAAATGAAAACCGAAAAGGCATAAGACAGGAAATTGGAACATTTTCAAACAATAGTGGCAATTTTCATGTGCTCAACAGTTTAGGTTTGATAATGATTTAACCCTTTCTGTTTACAGTTGACATGAACAGTCAGGTGGATGATGTAAATGAGCCAACAGAGAGTCTGCAAGAAGATCTCCAATAGGTAAGTTACCCCAATGGAGAGATTTTTCAATTCAAGAGCTAACCATAAGTATTAATTTGTAAACAACATGTTGTATTTCTCTTGGTTTTGTCATGTCCCAGTGTGTAGCTTGGGCTTGACTTTAGAGAACTTTAAACCAAATAACACAGTGTTAAGAAGAAAGATTATCTCATAGAAGCTTGTCATCCTTAAGTAGAAAGAATGAGCTGTGTAACAAGCATATTTAAATCATGGAACACCTTAGATTTCCTCACTTTGACAATAAGAATAGTGTTTTCCTATCAATCTTACCTCTTGCCTCCTAGAGTGACCACATTACTTCAGTAACCCCAGGTGATTCCAGAAGCATCACTTTTCCAGGAACACTACACTGCATTGTTTGGTATATCTGGTTTTTAAGTGCAACACTAAATCTTTACCTGAAAAAAAAACGTATAAAGACATATAAATATGTGTTGGCAGAAAAATAGGTGCCTGAGGTAGCACACATAGCCTCCCGAGGACATGTGCAACTTGACAGACATACCTTGAGTTCAATGGGCCTGAGGCAACTCCAAGGAAAAATGAAGTGGTAACCAGACCACACAGCTAAATCATATGTAGAGTAATTAATAATCTACTAGTGTTTCCTTGACTTTCCCTACCCTAGAAAGGACTATGGAAAAATCTGAAAATAAAGAAGTTGGCCTTATTATTAACTACATATTAAAAACACCGTGGAGCAATGAACTCTGAGGCAGTGCTGGTAGAACACAGACAGGCCATGGCTGCTCCTTCCACTCTCTAGTTCCTCTTAGTCTCCACACCTTGCATCAGACTTGAGCTCAAACCACATAATGGGATGAAAGTTCTAACGACTATAGGTGAGGACATATCTATCATTGTCATGATAATCATCAACTTTATGCAGCTATAAATGTAATGCTATTTTTATACCACAAAATTGTTTTAAAAATACACATTTATATAAACATGAACTCATAACATTTGTACCTTAGCCATGTGCTGCAAATACTCTGGGAAGTTTCCATTGAAAAATAATGAACTGAGACAAACTTAAACAGTTCCCACCATTCCTCAGTGCCTCCTATCATTTTTGTTCTTTAGCCTCCAACAAACTACAACTTTTGGATTTTTTTCCTATTAATATCCAAGTAAAGTAGCAGTATAGATCTATTTCCTTGACCTCAGATATACATGGAGGTTCAAGTACTTCCAATTCAAAATTACTTGAATGTGTGAATATAGTCACCATCATTTCTTCTCTCGCCTGCTTTTGAATAGCTCAGACATTGCTTGCAGCAAGCATGATGGTGCTTTTCTGTATTCATACAGATCCCAAATATTTAAAAAACTCATAGGCTACCAGAGAAATATATCTAAATTAATTAACAAACCCAGGCATCATCTACCGCAACTTTTCTTTAAAGTGCCAAGGGAACTGAAACCTGGACAAGCCTGCTGATTTACCTGACTTTATTGCACTGGTTTTCTGGCCTTTATCCCACATAAATTTGATGCATACTAGGTAATACCTCTGGCTATTCAGATATGTTGTTCCTAGTCCACTGATTCAAGAAACCCATGAATTTAAAATACATTAAAAAAATAAAAACAAAGAATTTCGTATGTAGTGACTATGTAGAGACTTTCCTTGTTACCCCTAACTAACGCAGGATGACAACTACAAAACATAACATTACACTGCATGAGGTATTTTGGTAATCTCGAGGTAATTTAAATTACACAGAAAGATATGCATATGCAAATATCATGCTGTTTCATACATGAAACTTGAGTATTCATAGCCTTAAATATCTTTCAGGATAACCAGAGACAGTCTGCCACAGACACTAAAATCTTACTTGTTTCAGCTTCCTCTCCCACATCTTCACAGCCTTCTGTGCACTGTGATGCCACAGTTATTTAGCAGAGTCACAGGTCAGACTTTGTTTTATCACATTAATTACATCAAACATATATTAATGTATTTGGAGCCTTTATTTTTACACTACTATTGCAGTTAGAGTTTGCGAGTTGTTACTCGCTGAGCCTCATCAGACTTAGTTTGATGTGGATTGACACTGAACTACTTCCTTTAGAAAGTTAACATCATCATCTGGTACAAAAAATATGGAGTAACTGGAACTTCTACATTGACATTGATAGGAGTTAAAAATGTTATAGCCTATATTTTCGATTACTCTAACAAAAATCAGTGAATAAGAAGGAAAGATTTATTTGAACCCTTGGGCTTGAAGATCAGCAGGAGCATCAAGATAGGTAAAGACCACTTGAGTTCCGATAGAACCTTCAAGGTCATACCCACACTAACTATAGACAATTCTTTTAAAACTATTATACTTAAATGAAAGAGGTAAAGAAGCCCAAAGAGTTTGGCATTAAAAAAAAAAAAAAAGACCATTCAGCATTATCAAACTGATTTTGTCCAAGGAATTTTAAGGATAGTTTCATAGATGCAAATTAATAAATGTAATGACATTAAATCGTCTGGAGGAAAAGATTAGATGATCATTTGAATATTTTTAAATCTATCAGATGTTTTAGCAACACTTAATTATAAATACTCCCTCCAATATTACACTCTAATGGCCAGAATTATACCAAATGTTGAAAAATGAAAGCTTGTCCTGTAAGCCCAGGGTACCACTACTTACTAACCTGTGAGAAAGTACCAGGTAGAAACACTATAAGGGGAAAGAATATGGCTTTAGAGAGGATGGTCCCTTACTCTGTGGCAGCCTGTTTTGCTGGTGATGCTGGTGATGGGATCTTGTAAAATGACCTTCTAATGACCTAGAGCATCAGGAAGCAAATACTAGACCAGAATTAGAAAAGAATGTGGACTTCAGTAGCCTGCTTCTAAATCCTCTATGTCATCCAGATAAGCTTGACTTTGGATGGTTTCTATCACATCCCCAAAATAGTGCAACCACCCAGAAACCAATGGCCCTTTTACATTCAAACCATAGCAAATGCATAAGAAGATAAAGTATTGTCACTCTTTTCTAGCTATGGGTACTAGAAGTTTTAGAAAGAACAATAAATACATAAAAATGGAAGGGGAAGAAGAATAATATTCTTTTTGCAGATGATATGATTCTATATAGAAAGACAGATAAAATCAGGAAAGTAGCAGTACACAGATCATCTTAACAATGTTCTGAGGAAAAACACGGAAAAGCAGGAAAGCAATCTTTCAAAATAACTACAAAAATAAGCTATCAGCAATAAATTTAACCGAGGGAGTGAAAGATGTTGCTAGTGAAAATCATAAGACATGGAGGCATGAAATCAGAGATGCACATACATAAGAGAAGTTTCATTTCATGGATTTAGGAGAATTAGCATTGTTAAACTGTTCATATTTTAAAAAATGGTCCTATAGGCTCAATGTAATCTCTGCCATAACACCCAGTATGGCAGAAATATCCTTACAAGAAATATCCCTTACAAGCTTAATGTTTATAAACTTGGCCCCTGGCTGGTGCACTTTTTTGAAGGTTATGAATCCTTTAGGCAGTCTTCCCTCTGTTTTCTGACTGTGGACTCAAGGTCACATCCCACCATCGTACCTTTCCTCTCTGACTACCATATGGGCTATATCCTTTATTCAACTGTAGCATAGAAAATTTCTTTCTCCCTTATTTTGCTTCTTGTCAGGCATTAAGTTACAGCAATTAGCAAAGCAACAAATATAAAACCAAAGCATTTCTTTACAAAAATGGAACAACAGCAGCAAAACCCTAATCATATGGAAATAAAAAACAAAAAAAAAATATAATCCTGAGTAAAGAGCCAACTTGAAGGCATAGCCTTGGAAAGTCAGAATCTACATGCAGAGGACTGAAATGTGCCTACTGCTTTTCACTGTGTATAAAAACTAACTAAAAAAAACAGGGGTGGGGGGCATCAAACACCTAAATCTAACGCCCAAAACAGAGGAAAACACTTTATGTCAGTGATCTGGGCAATGATCTTTCCAGAGAGGACCCAAATAGTACAAGAGCAAAAGGAAAAATTGGAAAGTAAGATTACATTCAATGGCAAAGCTTCTATACAGCAAATGAAGATGAGCAACACAATGTAGAGACATCTACAGAGTCAGGGGAGTGTTTGACAGCTACATGTCCCAAAGGAAGAAGATCCAGAAAGGAGCCCAAAAACACTCAAAAGTAAATTTTCTACTTAATAAGAAAATGACCCAAATAGATACCTCTCAAAATAGCAATGCCCAACTAATATATGAAGAACAAAGGAAAACAAAACAATGAATATCATTAGCCATCAGGGAAATGCAAATCCACACTAGAGTAATATTCCATCTCACTCAGTTCAGCATCACTATTGATTTTAAAAGACTGATGAAAATGTGCCCCAAAAAAACGTAACCCAGTGTTGGTGGTAATGTAAATCCACTGTGGAAAACAAGGAATTGGAGAAGTAGAAACCATAATCAGAGTACATTGTATGAAAAAAAAATCTGTTTTCAATAAAAGAAACAATGGAAAATATATAGCCATCCCAGTCCTTAGCATAGATCAGCATGACATATCCACATGCAGGTGTTTATTGCTATATTATTCATAGTAGCTAAAATAGTTATGCTGTATGTCCACAAAGAAAATATCATAATGGACAAATGCATATATAATGGAATATAGTGCATTGTGTTAAATGAAATAAGCCACTAAACAAAAATGTCAACATGAAGTGAAGGATAGTGGTAGCTAGGGATTGAAAGAGGTCTAGCTTGGGCGTGGGGTTGGGGGGGGGCATTTGCTAGGACCATGTACACTGTAGACATGAATATAAATAGCACCCTGAATCCCATTCATATGGGGCTATTTTCTTTTTGACACAGTCTAAGTATCTCATAGTAGAATGGATGAAAAATCTGATCTTTCTAGACAGAGTAATGTCAGTCATTACTGGAAAATTAAAAAAAGAATAAAGTTAAGAAGCAAGAATATAACTCTCAAACACTATGCTGAGTGAAAGGAGCCAAGCACAGAGATGCTTGTGTGATCCTGTTTGTAGAGATCTCAGCTGTAGAAAGTACTAGATCAGGTAACCCAACCTCACAATTCTTGGTTCCAGCAGAAGTAGACTTGGGAAAGGGAAATTTCTTTAGTCGGGAGAAGTTTTTTAATTATGATAGTATCATGGATTAAATGTGACTCTTGAGACTAGGAGTAACTGAATATGTCTGGATTGTGCATTTCCCTGGAGGTAGGGTAGACCTCATTTTAAAGGTCAAACTAAAATGACCACAGATTCTTCTGGAAAAGAGTATATTAGAGTTGTCTCATGGGTGGGGAACCCAGCAGGTACTCAACAAAAAAGGGTCTCAACAAAGGCTTTTACAAATCTGCATACTAAAAGTTGTTTACATACCAGTCACTAGGATCTAGAATGAACCAATAGGCTGGGAAAGGAAGAACACATCAAACGTAGATTGTTCAAAGAATTCTTCGAACACTTGCGTTAATAGTCCCCATCAGCTGAAGCAGTTTGTCATGTGGCCTACATTTATCAGCAGTGATTTATAAGATCTTTAAAGATACCATGTGCCAGCAATTACAGTTCAGATAGGCAAAGCTCTTTGATAGTCAAATAAGCTATTCCTAGGCCTGTTTGAGGACTGAGAGACATTTCAAGTGCTGCTTTAAAAGGTACTTCTTACTAAGCCTTGTGAAGATGCTTAATCTTTAATCTAACAAATGCTTTCTCTTTGTCTTCCTCAGGGCCACAAGATGAAGCAAAGGAACAAAGAACTGAAGCTAAATGACAACCCTCAGCATGGCAAGGCCTGGCCCTGGGGGACTTGGGAAGATGATAGTGTGTGCTGTGGAAGGGGTTGGGGGAGGGGGGAAGGCAAGTTCATGGAAGAAAGGGGGTCCTTTGCTCTAATTCTCCAGCTGCATTTTGTTGTTTACCTACAGAAAAGAAAAAATGAAAAAACAAAAAGAAAAGACAAGAAAAAAGAAAGTGCAAGCAAGCTCCCTCCATTTTGTGGGAGGCACCATGCTAAGCATCTTTCAGGCACTCAGTCCGAATCATTTCTGTCTTTTCTCCATGCCTCACCCTAGGGCCATGCTGATAGGCTTAATACTCACCCGGGTCTCCTAAACCCTCTCTGCTTTCTTGATTCTCACACAAAGCTGGTCATAGGACAATTTGTTCCACAAAAAAGAAAGAAGGTGATGACAAGCTGTAGGCTAAATTTCAAGAGTTACCATGCCCTGCATTGGTGTAAACCACAGACAAAGGAGGAAGGATAGAAAATGGGTACAAACCTCAGATAACACTTGGAAGAGGTCTGAATAAAGAGTTCAAAATATTCAAATCAGGCATTAACAAAGAAGGTCAGTCTTGGCAGCCACCAGATTCTCCAACCTTCACACCCAGGATGCTATGTGTGTTTCTTTTGTGAAGCTGATTTCAAGTACTGCTTCCTTGGTTTATGAGGTCTTCACAGTGTGCTTCCATATGGAGCCCATCACCAAGATGTGGTTCTTTGTACACAATTGGAATGCGTGTTACTATCACTGAGGTCAAAGGGACCATCTTGCTTCATTTAGGACTCAAATAAATCTATTAATAACAATTTGAGTTTTCAAAGTCCACTCGAAGTCTCTACTCTTCATAAAAGAATATCTATGTTGACCTAAGATGTAATAGCCCATAGAGGTTCACACCTGAAGTTAGGAGCATTTGGAGCCATTACTTCCAGCCCTCTCTTTCTGGTCTGCTAATGCCAAATCCAAGGGTGATTTGATGGCTCATCCATTCATCCAAAACTTAGCCAGAACTATCCATGACTTAAGAAGCCAGTGGAACAGTGGTAGTTCAAGCAATGAGGACCAGAGGAAGATAGGCACCATCCTAACTATCCGTCCCAGACCAAACCTAGGTGCCTCTTGGGGTACCAAAGACATGGTAGTGTCTTTTGCATATCATCTTAACTCCATCGTGTTTTAGAAATGATGTTTTATATTGTTATTCCTAACAGAAGGGGAAAGTGGAACTGAAAGTATCTAAAGTCAGCAGTGAGATAATACCACTTCATAAGTATCTCATCCAATTCACTAGTTTTGCCCTTTCCTGTGGAAAATCCATCTCATCTTCCTATGACTAGTTTCACCTGCTCTTCATTAATTTCTGCTTCTAGGTAATTTATTTGGTATGATAGAGTAAGTAGCAAACCATACCTTTGTGTATGTTACCTTTTAATATCTCTTATTTTCATTAATGCAGTTCTTCAACACAACAAGGATGTTTCAGGGATTTCATAATGTTTCCCCATGGTTTTTGCTCTTTTCTTTTTTTACAGTTTGACATGACAGCATATACTTCTCCATTACACATTGTTTTCTAGAACAATGCTTCCTCTAAATAATCTAAAAAAGGATGCCATCCAGATAGATAGCTTCATGTTTCCTACCACCTTCATAGCTATTTTACAAGCACCCATCAATTTTGTGAAATGCCTCACAAGAGAACCTTGCTAGGAAGGCATTTCCCCATAATTCCCCGGGAAGTGTTGCTAAGTCTCCTTTATAGGGTTACAGTGGGAAGGCACACATGAGATAAGATGAATAGCCAGGACTGGGATAATTCCAGCCCACCTTTCTCATTACCAACAGCAAACCACTGTGTTTGCTCATCTTGTGTGGGGATGGGTTAAGAAACAGGGAGAGAGAATTCTGTAGAAACTGTAGGAAAAGGAAAGCAATCTTTAGATTTAGGAAACAGAGAAGGAGGAGTCCCAACTCCTGAATTTGCTTAAACTTCCTTTTATGAATTAAAGTGCATTCATCTTTGCTTTGCAGTAGATTTTTGGTTGCTATGTGGCTGAATGATTGTATGCTTTAAAATAAGTAATGCAGTTAATTTACACTTCAATAATGAAATATAAAAATTTTTAGCTCTGGGCCAGACTGAAGGCATCTCAGACAAGGAAACCCATTGTTTGCTGGCCCTGTCACTGCACAGACTGTACAATGCAGTAAATGTGGGAAGTGGATCGATGCTTTCCACACATGAATGTTGGATGGCCATTTCCAAACACACTTCAGCCAGGCCACATAACATGAAGGGCAATAGGGGGATGAGAGGAAAGTAGCCCTGTTATTAGTCATGTTTGCATACAGAGGATTGAAGTAGACCTTCAACATAATAGTCCTTATTAGAAAGGTACTCACTGCAGACTAGACAAAGGGGCTTTCCTCTTGCCTGATAACTATTCAGATGATGGACAAGTCTTCTTTGATAAAAGCTTACAAAGAAGCCATCTGAAGCACTGTCTATGATACTGGGTCACATATCAATCACTGCAGCTAATTGTAAATCTTTCTATGAAACACTGAAAAGCCTCTTTGTGAATTAATACAGTTCTGCTTGATGCATTTGGTGTGCAAAGACATTTCTCTGTATGTGGTGCATGTCAGCTGTGCTTTGAAAAACAACAAAGTTAGCAGAATATGTTCAATATATTTTCTCGGGAAATAGGGTTTTTATCATATGACTCATTAAGGATTTGCCTTACCCTGACATTTGTGATATAAAGGAAAATCAGGAAAAAGTAATTTTCTTGAACAAGATATGTTTTTACTTAATGCAAATAAATGTAGTCTGTTGCTTGCAAGGAAAAAAAAATGTCTTCTGGTATTACTAGGGTGACACGTGCCTCTTTTGTTAAACCAGTCTTGAAATGCTGGACAGCTTCTGAGTCTGTTTGTCCTCTTCATCTGTGCCACACACTATGACACTTAAATGACTGTTGCCTTCGAACTATATTTGTTAGAGCAGAGTGCAAATAAACTTCTTTGAGAGGATAATGTGGAATTACATGTTTTGTGAAATTTGTCCTTTAGCCACAAGCAGTAACTGTATTCATTTATTTGGTCATAAATGTATTTGGTCATAAATAAGCATATTTAAAGTAGCCTCTATTAGTCCACTTTGACTCGATGTTTGTTCCTTACTGAGACAAGTTGAAGTTTGCCCATGTTTGTCCATCTACAGAGAAGTTTCTATTAGACACCTCCAAACACACACACACACACACACACACACACACACCAATTTTTTCTTTCTAAATAAGCCATTAACTTACTGTTTCTGAGATGTAGACATAGGTTGCTGAGATAAAAAGAATATGGGTCCATCCTTGGGGTACATCTTCCACTACTGAAATTCTTCTCATGTACTTCCTGTGAGCTTCATCACTGGCTATGTAATTGTGGCAGCCACACCTTCACTCTACTGTTGAAAGAATCATGATAGATAAAATTACAAAACATGGTTTAAAGTGTGGCACAGAGCCCCCAAAAATCATTGTGAAAAAACTCAATGCCCTTTCCAAAGTGGGTATACATAATAGTTCCACAAAACTAAATTTCCATCCCTTTCAGAATAAATGCTACCAGTTTTCCAGTTGTTATTCTTGTAGGCAACCAAATGAGATCTTTCATAAAATGCCAGTGATGGACGGACTAAGAGCAGCTAAGCTGCCACACTAGAGGAACATGTTCCTAGTAGTGAATAAAATTTGAAGAGGAAATAAAAAGCAGGCAGCACAGTCTCCTGTTTTAGCAGGCATTCTTAACACAATGGTTCACAATGATAATGATGATTATTTGAGTTGATTCAAGCCCTGTTAGATACAATGCTTCTTTTATACCCAGCTATTCAAGACTCTGCATATCACTCACGCTTCTCTACTGACTCTTCAACCAGCATTCAAACAGAACACTGTGCAGGGACATTTCCCAGGCAAACTATAGTAATGGGGACTGCAGAAAAGAATTAGTTTTTTAGTTTAATTTATCTGTTGCACTGTTGACTATTCATTTTGAATAAACTTTCAGCTATCCAGATTCAAAGTGTAAACTTCCTACTGGACCAATTTCTTGTTATGTAATTGTTTTTGCACTTCTTAGATAAAATTCCTATTTTCTAATTATTATGCAATAAAACTAATACTTAACTAATCAATATAAATCTTAAAGTTATGGTAGCTAAAACAATAATTATGAGATATTCTTAAATATTTAACTTTGTATTACAATATTTTTATAGTTAAAAAATTTTAAGAGAGTGAATTAAATTAAGATGTTTAGCAACAGAAAAATGACTACTGAACAAGGATATTAAGTCTTTTTCTAATTTGAAATTCCATAAAAATGGGTATTCAGTACCTACCATAAATAATTTTGAAAAGTAGCAATAGAAAATTTAAGTACACTAAAATGAAATTTTATGAATAAGCTACTTATCATGTATCAAATTTATTTTTAATTTACCAACAGTACAAAAGAGAAAATACACAAACACATACATACATACATACACACACACAATCAGTGTATGGAATAACTACTGATAAAGCTCTTTATGGCTATCTCTTTCTTGGCATACCAATCCATCAAAATGAGTGAGAGTTGATAACATCAAGTAAGTAACTTCAGGTAATATCTCAGATTTATTTTCATTTTATATTATATTCAATATTGACTGAATCATACCCTGTGTCTTGGATGTCTATTGCTTCTTCAGGTGGGTATATATCAGAAGCATATTTTTCTCAATCATTTCCTAAGTCATTTAAAAATATTTTATAATAATTGTGGAGGTCTATTGTACCACTTCCTTGTTATATGACACTCAACTTGAGTCTTTCTTCCTTTAAATGAAAACTACTAGCATTATTATTTTTATTATTATTTACCAAAGTTTCATTCTACACCAAGCTACACTTTCAGGAGATGCCCTGGGGTTAATGAATATTTAGCACTAATCACCAAATTGCA